AAAACATACTGAATGCATGATCCTATATGACGAGTACCTCGGGGACGAGGACCTTTGTGCGCCGATGGTGCTCGTTCTTAGCAACAGTGTTTTGGTAATACCGAGGACACGTGTCTTCATCATGGTGCATTTCAGAAAAGTCTCATCATATATATATGCATATAAATATGTTGGGTGGTGGGTTTATGGTGGTTGGGTGATGGATCTTCAGGGATGTTGGTGGTGGGTTTTGGAATGGTGGAGACGTTGGTGTTGGGTGGGTGTAGGGTTTTCAGTGGTTGGGTGGTGGGTTTTTAGGGGTGTTGGTGATGGGTTTTCGATGGGTTGGGTAGTTGGTTTTCGGTGGTGTTGGTGGTGGGTTTTGGAATAAAGGAGACGTTGGTCTAGGATTTTCAGTGGTTGGGTGGTTGATTTTCTGGGGTGTTGGTGATGGGTTTTTGGTGGGTTTTCAGTGGTGCTGGTGGTGGATATTATTGGATGGTTCATCCTCAATTGTATTTTGAGGAGCAATGTATTTGGGATTAAAAAAATTAACTAAAACAACAACAACCAAACATGCTTTTTTATTTTTGTTTTGATAATTTTTTAAATATGAATAACTATCAAACATATTTTATATTTTCAATTTTTACCACCAAAAAAAATAAATAAATAAAAACAAAAATGTTACCATACATATCCTAAGTCAATATGATTCCACAAGATCTAATTTCGTTCAAGTAACGGATTCTAGTCAATTGAAAGGATTTTTGGATCAATCCAAAGATCATTTGGATTCTATTGGTATTGAGGATTCAGGCTATCACACTTTGATCAATCAAAGAGAGATTCAACAACTAAAAGAAAGGTCGATTTTTTGGGATCCTTCCTTTCTTCAAACGGAACGAACAGAGATAGAATCAGACAGATTTTCGAAATATTTTTCTGGATATTCTTCAATGTACCGGTTATTCACGGAACGTGAGAAACAAATAATTTGACAAAAAAAATAATAATTGGTCCGAGATAAACAATCCGGTTAATTCAAGAATCTCCATTGACTCCAACTATCTGAGAAACCTTTTATCCACAGATTGGTCCCCTCAATTAATAGACAGCTCGAGTAATTTCAGCATAACCCTTTATCCTACATATCCCTTTTAGACATTGGTACTAGACACTTGGGTCAACCTATCTTTTAACTCTCCACCTTCAAAATTCGATTGAGCTTCGGTATTTAGTAGTAAATCTTCCATTAATACATTAAGAGCATCTCTTAGGTGGTGTTTGATAAAATTAAAAACTGAATATTAAATTTTTTAATTTAAAACTGTTTGGTATATACTGAAATTTAAGAATCAAATTAAATCAAACTGTTTGATAAGTACAAAAAATTAAAGTCTAAAAATAAATAATTTTTCTATTTTACCCTTATCCTATGTACTTTACACCTCTTTGTTCAATATGCATAAATATGCACATATTCTTTCAATGTTCTTTAGTATAACATATTGAATCACATTAAATACTACTCCCCATAACATGTGACAAAAACTTATCTTTGACAAGCAAAAATTAATTGAGTTTTTAATAAATCGAAAGAACAGCACAAGGGAAAGTTGTTGCCAACATTTAAACAATAAGGTCCACCATAGAAAATTGAGAATGATAGGTCACAGTAAATCACCAATACGGCTATGTTTGACGACACAAAAAGTTTAAGCTTCACTGACGACAATGAGGTCCACCATAGAAAGGACATCGGTTTCGTTATATACGACCCAATTGAAAATCTGGGTCACTCTTTTGGCATCTCGCCAATTGTCCTCCAAAATCCATTCCGACCATCTATATCCTTAGTTTTCCCAAGAGTCCAATGAGCAAAAGATGCTCTTGAGTTGTTGTCCGACTGAGAAGAGCCTCCCCAGAAAGATGATTTTATTTGCAACAAGACTAAGAGGGGAGAGGGGTGTTGTAGAGTATGAGCGGTGGCCGATAATAGTTGAGGATAATTTTTTCCATTGTGATAAAACTTTTAAAACCCAACTGTTGAGCGTGTTAAGTAATAAAATTAAGTAGGGCGGAGATTCCTGAAAATTTTGGCTTGCATCTGGATGGAACTTAATTCATTAATTGATCCAATTATTGTGTTATCAAACAAACTTAAATCATTATTCACCGAAAAAAGTTCAGTTTTAAGCATTAAGTATACCAGTGGGCCTTTAATCCAAATGTACTCTGTAAAGGTTTTGCTTGAGGTTAAGGGTTCAAGTTCCCCTTCTCCCTTTTCCCTCTCCCTCCCCCCCAAAAAAAAATTTTTTTTTTTTAAAAAGCATCAAGTGGAGCAATCAAACAACCTCTTATTCTTACATTTTCTAAACCAAAATTTAAATTTAGGTAAAAACTTTCATCAATACTAGACTCACACCTGTATCAAATAAAGAAAAACTCTTTTTTTTACTCAATTTCATTCTCAAATCTTTAATGGTGAGATTTGACTCACCTTTAAAAATTCAATGGTCATATTTTACATTATTTTAAATTTGAATTTGTTTTCATTTAAATGTGAATTCTTCTTCTTTTAAATTTGAATTTTTTCATTGAAGAGATCTATACTAAATTAAGTTTTTTACATTCTTTTTTTTTTTTAACTAATGTTTAGATCAGGATATGCATCCCATTGGAGATGGTCAAAGAATGATTTATCCTTTAGAGAATTGAAAAGATGGGTTTTGGAGAGGATTTGAAATAGCCAACAAAAGAATATGACAAAAAAGAGATCAAATTACATAATGTTGACATATAACATCAGGCCATTTGGTTTTTTTTGTATTGATTTTATATTTTAGTCAGTCTACCATTGACTTTTGGTTCCCGAAAGGACTGGAACTCTTTTCTTTTTTTTAAAAAAAAATTTGGAATATATTTTAGGCGAATTACACTTTATACCTAAAAAAAATTTAAAAAAATTTATTTTGTACTCTTAATGATAAAAATTTTCACATTATATACTCAATGTATTAAAATTGTTATAATATGACCCTTCACTTAACTTCTATTATTTTTTCTGTAAAAAACTATCCCTTTAACATTGACGAAAAAAATAACAAAATCTAACAAAATGATCATATTGTGATATTTTTTATACATTGAAAGAAAATTTTTAATTTTTGAAAATATAAAGTAATTTTTTTAAAAAAATTTTAGGATATAAAGTGTGATTTTAACATATATTTTTTAAGGAAGTGAGATAGAATTAGTATGTGGGATAACATAGATTTAATTAATGTGTGCCCAGAAAAGGGTAAATCTGCCCCGTATATTGTGTTTCGTGATGGGTAGAAGCATTGTACCAGATAGAACCCCATGCCATGGAAACTCCCAAGACTTTTTCTAGAGTATTCATTACATGTGATTCCATGCGGCAATATTAGCATAGTTTCATTAATTAATAAAATCAAAATAATTAAGTAAATAAATCCCAATAAATTTAATAAATAAATAACTAACCTCTCTTCCTAAGCAAATAACTATATAAATAGCGTTCAACTTGTCCACTTAGGAGTAGTTTGATTATAGTATTAAAAAGTGGATTATAGAGTCGTATCATATTAAAACTCTCTAATACAACCTTATATTATATTTGGTTGCAAAAAATACTCTATATTACATATAGTCTTATTTTAAATATTTATATAATAAAATAGCTTACAATTCAAATTTCAAAAGATAAACAAAATGACTTTTATTATTCGCGGTTGATATCGTTTTAAATTTTACTTTAAAGTTAATTTAACGGCTAATATTAACACCCTAAATTTAATAGAAAAAATAGGTCATAAAGTTGTGTTTTGAATAAAGTACTTTTATAAATTATTTATCATAAATATTTTTAAAAAATAATATTTAAAACCGTCTCACCACTACCTCTACTACCACCACCGCCACCACCACTGTCACCACCACTATCACCATCACCATCGTCGTTGCCAACCCCATCGCCACCGCCACCCCTACCACCATCACTGTCGCCGCCACCGCCGCTGCTACCACTATTACCGCTGCCGTTGTCGCTGCCACCGCCGTTGCCTCGACAACCACCACTACCGCTGCCGCTGTCGCCTGCACGTTACCAATACCATCATTATTATCATTGTTGTCGCCTTAATCACCACCACCACTGCTGCCACCACTGTCACACCCCCTCTCCACCCACCAACGCCGCTACCATGTTCATTGCCACTCACTACAATTGTTACCGTCTGCTACTACCACCACTATCATCCACCACCTCTCACCAACACTACAAAAACGATGCTTAAATTTTTTTATCTCTTTTATATGTTTGTGATTTGATTTTGAATATGAATACAAATATATTTATTGTTTATCATTTTTTAATACTCTGTGCCTAATAACTAGTTTATTTAAATAATACACTTTATTCATACTATTGAATCGATTATAATGGCTCCTTGAGAGGTAGTATTATAGTCAAATTTAAGCCTATTAATTTATAAATTTACTATTTTACCTTATTGATAAATAAAGACATTAATAATTATGCACGATTTATAGTTACTATCTTACCAAATACTGAATTATATAATACACCTATATTATTTAATATAGTTTATTTTTTTATAATATAATAATTAAATAAATTATATTTTATTATTAATCGGTGATATAAAAGACCATCTTTACTATAATCACCTTTGCATTCAATATTTACTCTGGTTTGACAAAAAAAAAAGAGTAATGTTACATAAATTTAAAAAATAGATTTAAAAATTAAATTTGATAATTTCAACCATTGATTTTATTATAGATCTTAACATTTATTGGAATCCACTACTTATTTAATAATTAAAATTATCGAATCTAATTTTTAAATCTAATTTTTAAATTAATGTAACATTACTAAAAAAAATATATATATATTTACTCCACAAAAGGAAGCTGCTTTTAAATCCCCCCCCCCCCCTCTCTCTCTCTCTCTCAGTCTTTCTAGTTTCTATTTCCACTCCCAGAAGATTTACTTACCAAATTCTGTGAACTTATCCTACTATTATGTGTATATAGATTCTTTAGGGTTCTGCAATGGCTGATTCTTATCGGTTAAACCCACCCACTACAAGGTAAGCTTTGAAGCTCTCTCTCTCTCTCTCTCTCTCTCCCCACTTTTTCTATGGTTTGCTTTTGGCTTTTCCGGTTCTGCCTCAAATCTTGAAGAAAGCATGTAGCATAAGTTGGGTTTTTTTTAATCTCTGTGACTTATCTTGATATTACTTTGCTGTTAATTTTTCTTTTCTGTAGATTTTTTTGGGCCCTTTTAGTTACTTTTAATTCCAACATATCTACCGTTTCTTGATTTTTCTGTGATCAACACTTGTTTGATGAGAATTCGTATGCATAATACTGAAAAGTGGCCGTTGTCAACTATATATATATATATATGCGTGTGTGTGGGTATGTTTTGTTGGATTGGAGACAAATAGCAGAAGAAGTCCTAATAGAAAAGAAAGGGGAAACAATCTTAGAAAGTTGGGTATTTTTTTAGAAGCAATATGGTAAGTTGGGATGTCGAAGAAAGAACTTTTTTTTTTTTTTTTTTCCAATTTCCCAAGTCGATGTTGGAAATAATGAGTTTGTTAATGTTGTGATTTGTGAGCATTATTGGGTCAAGGGCACCCGTATTAACTTCGTTTAGGTGGTTGGTGGTTCTGGCAAGGGTTTTACATTCATTGATTTGGAGATATATTAAAATTTATCTTAAAACAAAGAAATTTTGGCTCGGGTATGTCATTCTTGCGATTTCACGGCTTTGTCATGAACAAGCTGCGAAGGGCATATAATTGAGTAAAAGAAAAATTGAGGATAAAATACCAAAAGATTTCTTTCGGGTTTAGATATCAAGAATGCACAATTTTTGGGCACCATTTTTGCTTAATTTTGGTCAAAAGTATCATCGAGTGGATCATATATATGTATGGTTTTGTGAAAGTATTGCTCTCTCCCAGTTAGGAATCTTGAGCGTAAGATAGATACTTCTGCAAAGGAGTTCTATCAACTCCTTCATTCAGCTTTAATGGGTTTCTGTTGATTCCTTTCTTTTTTCCCGATTCTCTTTTCAGGCCCTTCCAATGATATCTCTGAAGGGAATTGAAGTGATTGCAGAATCTAGTACAGCAACTTCAATGTAATGATGTTCCATCAGAGTCTGTGTTTTAACGAGAAACGTAACAATGAAGGAGGTAAACACGATGGATATTACTGTTCTCTTTTTTCATTTTTCACTTGTGAAATTTTAATCGACTGAAATTTGTCCTTTTTGCAGAATTCATTGCCATCCAGAGCATTAAAGAAATCACCAAATGTGCTTTGGATGGTTCTAATATTTGCAGTTGTTGTGACTGGATTTTACATCCGCTTTGTAAGCTTCAACCATGTAATAATGCCACTAAAACCAAAAGAATTACCAATTCCAGGGAGTACTGGGGCACTTTGTGAGCTTCCTGAATTGCCTTCTGAAGAAATTCGCTTCGTGCATTTTCCTCGTCCGAGGACTTATAGCAGGTTTTCGTCATCATTGAACTTTACCAATTTTGGCCCAATTGTCTATCATAGCTGACCGTGTTCTTTTTGACAGGGAGGAATGTGTGTGTAACCCAGTGAGGAATTTCGTTCTGTTATCCATGCAGAGATCTGGAAGTGGGTGGTTTGAAACCTTATTGAACAGTCACCCAACATTAGTTCAAATGGGGAAATATTTTCTGTAAAGCACAGAAAAAGCAATTTTTCAACTATTAAAAGTACTTTAGATACTGTCTATAACTTAGAGTGGATTAGTAGTGCTGCAAAAAATGAGTGCTTGGGTGCTGTTGGATTCAAGTGGATGCTGAACCAGGTTTGATAAATTTATGTTCTCTTGTCTTCTAATCACTGATTTCATATTGTTTGCTTTTTACATTGACCTGTTGTCTGTTTGATTATGCGCCATTCACAAGGCTAGTGCTAGTCCCTAAGTGGTTGCGAGAAAACTAGTATTCAATTGCAATGCTTTTCATTCTAGACTTGAATTCCGTCTATTTTTTTTCCTTTTTGTGTAGCTTTGCTATAAATTCCCATCATGTGCTTCAGTAACTGCGATATATAATTGATTATACCGAATCAAGAGACTCAAAACCTGGCTTTGTGTGATGTATCATGATTCAAGGTCACAACACTGGTCATTAGTCTACAGTGACCTGATATGGACTCTTTCACAATGTTCTGGATCACATATATCGAGGCCGTAGATACTCCTAGCATCCTACGAATCAGTGTGGCACGAACCGAAACGGCATGGGTTCACGATTCATATTGTTCAAAGCCCTGGCCCTGAACTATAACTTAAACCAAAAATTGATTCATAATCTAAGTAATTCCACATCGTAAGTCCAATCCCAAATTGTAACCCTAACTTGTTATTTCTTTTTTTGGTGTTTTTAAACTCATATTTTGACAACACTTAACAAAAATATAAAAATTATTTTTTTTTTGACTATGTGTAAATGGATTTACGATTTTATAAAAAAGTTACAAAATGAACTACAATCCAAGAAAATATACCAACTTAACCTACCCCATCATACCACGTATTAGAAGTATCGTATCATGTACCTATGTCGATATAGGTACCAAATTGGCCAACAATTTAGGGAACATTATTCTGGATCGGTATAGGGCAATACACCAAACTTCCCTTAGATCTAAGAAGCATTGGCGCCTCTAAGAAGGCCGAATATGCGTCAGGAACTGGCAAATATTGGGTGCGGCCATATAGGTGTTCGATGCCCCCTTTGGCTGTTAATGCAATCAACTTATGAAACAGAAAAATCCAATAAGAAGGAGAGTCAGAGAGCTAGATCAAGCTAAAAGATTAGCTTAAAAACCCACACTCAGAGAAGGTTGATTGCTGTAGAAAGCAGAAAATACGTTAATATTATTCCAAAAGCTATTGAATACAATGTGGAACAACCCTTTTATAAGTCCCTAGGGTTGCCCTAATAAAAGAGTCAATCTTAACCCTTTAATTAAAACTAATCTAAGGTCTCCAATTCTGTCAAGCAGAAATAAAGACACTAAAATGACCAAGCAGCCCAAATCAATCACATGACTGACTTTTAAAACTCACATGACTTTTAAAATAAAACCTAATGACCAAACTACCTCTAAATATGATTGATAATCAAAAGAAACACTATGTAGAACATGAAAACATACTGAAAATAGAATTTAGACTAAAATAAACGACTCCAGAAAAACATAAACAGCATGTGGAATGATCACAGGAGACTTCCACTATTAAGGTGTTTAGGCTTGGTTTCTTTGGATGTTCAAAGACTTGTAAAAAAACTTCTCCTATACGCACTGCATCAGTGCCTCCAAGTGAGAGAAAACTCAACCTAGAATTAGTATCCTCCTCGCTGGAAGAGTTTCCATGATATGGCACTGAGTGACAAACATTAAACACATCAGAGGTCTTGATATGGCTGGGAAGCTTCAACTCGTATGCATTATCATTGATCTTTTCAAGGATTTCACATGGTCCAATCTTCCTTGCACTCAACTTGTTATATTTGCCTATTGGATATCGATCTTTGGTCAATACGACTCACACATAATCTCCAACATCAAAGATCACTCGTCTCCTACCCATAGCAACATGTTTCTTGTACTTTTGATTGCTCTCTAGAATCTGTTGTTGCACCTTTTCGTGAATTTACTTAATATTTTTTACCAAATCTTCAGCTTTAGAACTCACCCGACTTGTTAAAGGAAGTGGAATCAAATCCAAGACACTATTTGGATTGCGGCCATACACAATCTCAAATGGACTCATCTTTATTGTGCGATTCTTAGACCTGTTAAAAGCAAATTCTGCATGAGAGAGAACCTGATCCCATCACTTAAGATTATTTCCAATATAGCTGCGAATTAGATTTCCTAAAGTCCTGTTGACAATCTTGGTTTGCCTATCTGTTTGAGGATGATAAGCCGTACTGAAGTTTAATTCAAATCTCAATTTCTTCCATAAAGTTCTCCAAAAGTGGCTAATAAATTTCCTATCTTGATCAGAAGTAATGGACTTCGCACACCATGCAAACGAACAATCTCCTTGAAGTATAAATTAGCGATTCGAGAAGCATCCATAGTCTTCCTACATGGAATGAAATGTGCCATTTTAGAAAATCTATCGACAACCACTAGAACATAATCTATACCTCTTTGTGTTCGGGGAAGTCCAAGCACAAAATCTATGCTAACATCAGTCGATGGAGCACTTGGAATTGGCAAAAGAGTATATAAACCAGCATTGGTAGCTCCTTCCTTTGAAACTTGACAAGTATGACAACGTTCAACTAGTTTATTGACATCCAGCTTAAGTTTTGGCCAAAAGTAATTGGCTTCTCCAGCCAAGGCATATGTCTTATCCCTGCCAAAGTGCCCTCCATTGTGCAATTGAAGCAGAATTTTTTGTCTTAAAGAACATTCTGGAATACACAATTTGTTCTTTTAAAGAGAAAACCAGTTGCAAACAAAAATCTTGACGCTTGCACTTTTCTACTTCTTCATGAATTTTACCAAAGAATGGATCAACAACATTGAAAGTGTCAAACCCTACCACATGCACATGCAAAGTAGATAGCAAAAGAGACCTTCAACTCAGCATTAGCCACTTTGTTTTGAATACCAGACTTATGCTTCAAATTGAAATTGAACTGTTGGAAGTAGGTTACCCATTTTTCATGCTGACGGTTCAAAGTTTGCTGCCCATTTAAATACTTCAAAGCCTTGTGATCATAATATAAAACAAATTTCCTTTGAATGAAATAATGTTTCCAATGGTGGAGAGTCTGTATGATAGCATAAAATTCCACATCATAAGTGGAATAATTCAGTCTTGCTCCACTTAACTTCTCACTGTAAAATGTCACTAGTATTCCTTCTTGGCTAAGTATAGCCCCAAGGCCAACCTTTGAAGCATCACAAGGCACCTCAAAACTTTACCAAAGTCTAGTAAAACAAGAATAGGAGCTTCGGACAGTTTCTTTTTCAAAATCTGGAAACCTCCTTCAGCTTCAGTAATCCATTTAAATGACCCTTTCTTCATACGTTTTGTAAGAGGTGCTGCAAGTGAGCTAAAATCTCTGGTAAAACGTCAATAAAAAGCCAAACCATGAAAACTACGATCTTGGTGGATGTTTGTGGGACTTGGCCAACTAACAATGGCTTGCACTTTGGACTGATCCATGTGAATTCTTTGTGAAGAGACTTCATACCCAAGAACAATACCCGATCTGTCATAAAATTACATTTCTTTAAGTTAATAAAGAGTTTTTCTTCCCTTAAAGTGGTCAAAATGGACCTCAAGTGTTCTTCATGCTTCTCAATCGACGGGCTGTACACAAGAATATCATCAAAATACACCACTACGAACTTTCTAATATTTGGTTTCAACACATGATTCATAACACGCATAAAAGTGCTTAGGGCATTTGACAAACCAAATGGCATGACAAGTCATTCATATAACCCTTCTCGAGTCGAGTCTTGAAGACTGTTTTCCATTCATCTCCGGGACGTATTCTAATCTAGTGGTAACGACTTTTAAAATCAATCTTTGAGAACACTTTTACTCCAGAAAGTTGGTCCAACATATCATCCATTTGAGGAATGGGAATCTATACTTGATAATAATTTTGTTAATGGCTCTACTATCAGTACACATTCTCCAACTTCCGTCTTTCTTGGGCAGTAATAAGACTGGTATGACCCACAGACTTTTGCTTTCACAAACATAACCCATCTCTAATAAATCCGAAACCTACCTTTCAAGCTTCTCATGCTCTTTTGGGCTCATCCTATAATGTGGCTTATTAGGTAAATTAGCTCCATGCACTAGGTCAATGTGGCGTTGGATGTCCCTCATGGGAGGTCATCCAGGAAGGAAATTTTGCGACATAACATCAGAAAATTCTTCTAAAAGTGGTCGAACAGTAGTTGGACAACTAGTTTCTATGAACTCCTCTTTACCCACAAAACATATACCATTCTCTTCTATTTCTTCCAGAAACTTGGCCATAGAGAGCAAATTAACAACCTCTCTTTTTTGTGTTTTAGTTGTAACTCCCTCTTTAGATGGGACCAAAATAATTTTCTTCCTATCCTTGTAGAAAGTATAAGTGTTCAAATGACCATCATGTTGCACCTTATTATCATATTGCCACTGTCTTCCAAATAAGACATGACATACGTCCATTGTAACCATGTCACACTACTGTTGAAACAGAAATTTCAAGAACTATTGACAGCGCGTATGTATCGAATACCAAATTTTTTTTTAAAACCTTACAAAGCAAAATTAGAGTTTATATTCAAGATCGCTCTGGCTTGATCTCGTCTCAACACGAATGTAGAACCCAACAACGAACACAGAAGACAACTCGATAAACCTCGCGATCTTCTGTTGTATATTCTCCAACGTCAGAATTTAGATGCAGTCTGGATACAGAGTGGGCTATCAGAACCTCTGAACTTTTACTCTCCCTTTCAGCCTCTCTCAAAAAACGTGAGTAAAGAAAAGATGTTGATGTAGAGATCCTAGACGTCTATATATAGGTTACGACAGAAACCCTAAGGAGAAATAAAAATCGGATTTCCAATGGGCCTAGGATTCTTATGTTCAACTCAGAACAAACATCTTACAACCTATTAATAATAAGGTAGTCTACTAAAAATTTATTATTGATCTCTTGAGCCTTATTTTAAATTTATTTTCAAGCTCCTCATTATTATATTCTTAATAATTTTTTCGCGTTAAAGATTAAAGATGTCCATCAATTAAATAAATTTCTGACAATTATATT